ACTGCTTGGGAAAATATCAATTTTATATCAATAATAATAAAATTATTATTAGAATAATAACTTGTAGAGGTAGACAGAAGAGATATATTGACTGCAATTTAACTAATAAGGAAACTAGAATCCAAAGCTACATATCTAACTAATGGCAGAGTGAGGACTAGAACCCACAAAGCTTGTCACAGTCCTTGCAGGTTCCTGCTGCTCCTTATGAAGCCTTCAAAGGAGATGATGCTCATCATGCAAAAGGAAATGATGCCCCAGTCCAGCATCACTGGGACAAGGGTTTGTCCTTGGGTGTTATTCCTCGGGACACATTTAAGCAGTTCTGTGTCCACACCATAGCTGTGGGGCCACAGGAGCACAGTCTATTTCAAAGGGCATCAAGAACGAGGCAGCCAGTGTCTCAACTCTGTGAAAGGCTGACCAATAAAGCCAGGCAGGCACATTAGGACGCAGTTTCTTTCCAACAGCCAAAGAACATCAGGACAGTGGGAGCTGGGTGCAGAGAAAGTTGCCATGGGAACCAAAGCACAGGTTAGATCCCAGGATTAGGGCTGTCTCCAGTTCATGACCGACGGTTGTATTCCAGAACAACGTACACAGAAAGTGCTCAATAAGTGTATATTGAGCTAGACTGAACGCTTATTATTATTCAAGCAGGGACAGTCAGCAAAAAAGGTTGACAGTAAATATAAATATTCCACCATGCCCAGCAAAGCAAAGGTAATCCAACGTGAACTAGTTTTCTGTTTTATTCTAAATCGAGGATTAAACTGTAAGCTCCTAAGCACACAATCCTCCCCTCCGCCCCAGACTGTTAGCCTGCACATAAGAAGCCATATCTTACTTATCTGTGTCCCCAGAATACCTAGCACAGAGCCAGAAACATTTGAAGTGTCAGTGTTTTTGGAATTGAATTGTTTGCTAGGCTGGCGTGGGAGTTAAGATGCTGACTAGTAATGCACCATTCCTTCCCCTGAAAGTTCTGTAAATCAAGTTCTTAAAAAAAAGCAAAAAGCTAAATTCCAAAACCTCCTCTCAGGAGAAATGCCCACGGCTGGTGGGGTCTGGACTATGTCCACTGGCTGCACAGATGCCTTCTGCACAAACATCACTTGCTCCCAGAGGGAGTCCATGACTGGCTGCCTGGCTGTGGAGACTCACACTTTCCCTCTTTCCCAATGGCAGGGGGGTCAGGGAGAGGGATGGGAGTGGAGGGATGAAGCACAGCTGAACAAAATGTTCTCCTCTTCCCAGGAGAAGGAAAAGCTCTCATCAGAGGAAGGTTGGCACTATTCTAGAGGCACAACCACAAGGATCGCAGGCTGTAGAGAAAATAATGTTTTTTTAAAGATAAGCTTTTTTTTAAAATAAATTTTATTTTTATATTCCCCATACAATTGCAGCCCCCTTATTTTGACCCCAATCCCTTCCCTCCCCGCCCCCCACCTCCCATAGAGTGTCTCTGGTTCATAGTTGTTTGTTGATTTTGATTTTCACTTTCTTATTTTCATTTTCCTGGTCCCTTATTTAAGTTTTCTAGATTCCTGCTATGAGTGAGACCATCCAGTATTTTTCTTTTTCTTTCTGGCTTATTTCACTGAGCATGATCCTTCCAGCACCATCCATGTTGCTGCAAATTGCATGTGTGTTTATCTTTTTTGAATGCTGAGTAATATTCCATGGTGTATATGGACCACATCTTCTTGATCCAGTCATCTATTTTTGGGCATTTGGGCTGTTTCCAAAGCTTAGCTATTGTAAACAGTGCTGCTATAAACATAGGGGTGCAGGTGCTCTTTGGAATTGACCATCAATTCCAAATAAGCTTTTTTTTAAAGGCCCACCCTCACATTTGCACTGGCCTTACATTGGGATGGTGATATTGCTATGACCTTCTGAGATTTGGGCTACAAACTGGGATTGGAGTGGACTGGGTGGAGGAGCAGGAGTGGGTTGAGGAGTCAGTCATTATACCAAAATCCTTGATTTTTTTCTGTTTTTCAAAAACACTAACAAAAACAAAAACAAACATTATAAGCTGATTTTGAAGGAATTGGACTAGAGATACTGATTTTTTTCTGGGAGGCAACCAAACACAACTCACTAATCCCCTAAACTCTTAACAAACTCTCTTGGAGATTTAATCACAATGTAAAATCCCCAAGTTTTTATTGGCAGGGTTTGGTTATCAGCTGCACAACTCTCTGAAATGGCAACCAGTACGATTTCCAGGTCCATCTCCATCACACATTACAGTGGCGGCCGGCAAGGTCTGTCTGCTGAGTGCCCTGGTCGAGCCATGTAAATTCTTTCTAGGGGAGACTCAGGACAAACTCTCTAGATACCAAGTTCTCTACTTAAAAGGTATAGAATTTCTTAGCACAAAAAAGATAAAAAGAAAGCTTGCTACCTTTCTAAGTGCTTTCACATACGGTTTCTTTCTTAAGAGCTTGAGGTTTTCAGAAATCCAGCTGCCTGGCTCATTTGAGCATTTGTGTTAAATCAATGAAGTTCTGTGAGCACTGCCGCCACTGCACAGCGACCCAGGCTCTGGCAAACCTCTGAAGGAACTCACCTTCAAGCTACTCTCATTTGGGGAAACAAAGTCACTATACCTGGCCTCTTTAACACACACGACCACTCAACGGTGCACAGGTTGCGGATGTGCAATCTCAGTTTGTCTAACTTGGGAAATCAAGCCCACCCAGGCACCCACAGACCATCTTTTCCTAGGATAGGTTTTTTTTTTTTTCCCTCCAATTCCTCAAGACACTTGCTCCATCTCTAGAAGCAAATATTGGCCTCTGCCCATAGCAAAATCAACAAAGAAAGCACTGCAAGAAATATTGCAGCGTGGTGAAAAGAAAACAGGATTTAGCACTGAAAAACTCAAGAGTTCCAACTGTCACCACATGTCTGAGCTTGGATATGTCACAGAATGACTTTATAAGACCCTAGTTTCCCCTTCACACCAGGTTCTTGTCAGAGAAATTATGACAAAGTGCCTTTATCTTATGTATGTATGCAATCCCACTTTCAGTATGTTTCATTACATCACAGGTTCAGGGACGCTGTCTTGTTGGGTCATGACAGTGGCCATCACCAGGAATGGTGACTAGCACATAGTACATGATCAAGAGTGGTGCATGAGCTCTGAATGAGTAAAGGGGAGACAAAAGGGAAGGAAAAAGGACAGAGGTAAAGGATAGAATGGCAGGAATATTAATGATGTACCACATATGCAAGTGGTCTGCAAATGAAGAATTCTCCTAATTATTAAAAAATTACATATAGCATTTGATGCATGAATTATACCTGGGTGATCTTTATAAAATGTAAGCTAAATCAGGTTATTACCTGGCAAAGAGTCCTCCAGTGGGATTTCACACTGCTTCCAACACAAGCCAAACTCCTTTCAGCTTACCAAGTCCTCTGGGACATGACCTGGCTGGCCTCAAGTCCACCATCTCTCCCCTCCCTGCCAGGACCCATCACTCTGGTGTCATTGTTTGCTCAGCCACATGGATTCTGTTCCCATCTTGGAGCCCCTTCTCCTGCCAGGGCTGGCTCCTTCTTGTCACTGGGCTCTTGGCTTAGTGCCACCTTCCCAGAGAATCCCTTCTCATGCAGGTCCTCTAAAAGGTCCTCACCGACTCTGTTCTGCTGCTTTGTTATTTCTGTCTATTACCAGCCTCCTCCCCACTGCCTGATGGTCAGTGAGTCCTTATTTTCAGATGACATGACATTTGTTCCTGCTAACATTACACGTGTACTCTCCTAATTATTATTTGTTTTATTTCCACAAGTTTATGAGCACAAAACAAACAAGCATTCTATAGGTCAAACGGAAGACTCCCTCTCTACCCGCTGCATGCCAGGCCCACAGAAGCACCTGGCGCTGTGGACAAAAGCACCTGTGCCAGTCAGTTTCATATTTGTGATTTAACTGGAGTCGTGGACAGTCAGTGACACAATAACTATTTAGCACTCTAACCCGGAGGGATTCTTTTGAGACATGGAAGTAGTGTTGGAGGCCTCCTGGCTCAGGGTTTGGGTGAGGGTGAAGGGGACAGGAGGGGTGTGGAAATAGGCAGAGGGGCAAACAGCAGGAAGACTCTCAGGTCCAGCAGGTGCATGCACAGCCAAGTGGGGGGCAGTAACTCTGTAGGAGAGCATGGAGCAGACACAGGGACAGTTCTAGGGCTGGCTCCACATCCCCTGTCCTCCACCCCCAGAGCAGTTCCTCTGTGACATGGGGTGGAACTGGATCAGCTCCAAGGGAAATCCCAGGTCTGACATCCTGCAAGTTAATGAGAAGAGTCTCACCTTTTGCTATAGACACCATGTCTGTGTAAGAGATAACCCATGTGATATTCTGTTAAGTGCGGCTTTTCTGGACTAAGTGGGATTTCTTTGATTTATTGGTAAGGTCACAGGACGAATCCAGATCTCTGCTTTTGCCATTTTTCTTTGCCATTCTTTACTTCCCTAGAGAAGCTGGGCTCGAGGCAAACCTATGTCACCTAGAGATCAGCATGGAGCTGTAAAGCACACTCCAGCCACTCTCCAAGAGATGGGTTCCTACTGTATCTGATCTTAGCCAACACTGTCCCATCTGCTTTCAACATGTTGCGTCTGATGTTAGCTAATGTCTCTTATTAGCATTAAAAGAAAACAATCTGGAAAAATTCACTCTCAAGCAGAGTTCAAACAGGCCGCAAGTAGATGTGGAATCTCAACTGCACAAGGTTTGTGAAAATAATAGTAGTAAATAAATACATTAGATGTAAATGTATACATGTGCATATGTATACATATATGTGTGCGTTGTGTGTGGTTAAGCTAAAAGTCTATAAAATGGATCAAGAATGTATCTGTCTGATTTATAAAATTAACTGGCATGAGAAGAAGAAAGTTTCTTGCAGTGCAGAACAAGACACAAGAAATAGAACTTAATGACATGGAGAAAGATTTGGGCATCTTTGCCCCATACTTACAGGTAATGGGTTAAAATTCTGGTCCACGAGGTGATTGTATCCATGGTCAAAAAACGAGTGCCGGATCACAACATCAATGCCCTGGTTGGCCAGCATCCCTAAAGTGTTCAACCATCTGAAAAGCAGGGGGGGAAAGCAACATCAAAAAATATTTGTAACTGGTATATAACAAGCTCCTTACAGATAAGGGTAAGAGTTAAACAGACCGACCCCCACCCACCCCCCACCACCAAATGACCCAGTCCTTTAAACGAGATTATTTTATGCATCTGATATACAGCTGGAAGAGATTTTAGAGATTATAAAATCCAAACTTTTCATTACATAGGGAAAGAAACAAAGGTCTGGGGGAGTAAGATGAATTGTCCTTGGTCATATATAACATGTTGCTACTGCTTATCTTTTATTCTTTTAATATTAACAAATAAAATGAACACGGGAGCTACTTGTAAGTCTGATGTCATCTCCCAGCCAGAGGACACACAACCCCAGGAACACACCTAGACGTTCCATTACTCGAGCTCCCAGTCTCATACTTCATCACTCTACATCTACCTTTCATGTGACTCTAATCCATACACTCCCACAGCCAATGCAAGAGCAGTCCAGGGACTGGCATCCCTTGTGTATCCTTGTCATCCGTAAATGCAATAATAATTTTCCTTGGTATTATCATAGCTGCCTTTATCATTTCTATTAATTTAGCAGTGTAAGGACCAAGCATGCTACTGTCAGGCATGGGTTGCTGTGGAGGACATGCATTCTGCATACATTTATCACATATCCCGCCAACCAAACAGCCACTTTCCAGAGCATGCACTCCTTCAAAGCTCTTGCCTTCTTGGTTCTTCCAAAACCCAGTGCTAACTCTACACTCACTGTCTACACATGCAATTTGCACATTCATTCATGAGTTCACTTGTTTCTCTCTTTCTTTTTGTGTTCCTGCTTCTGAAACTTAGGAAGCCTCTAGTTGTAATAATTTATGTGTAAGAATGTGATGTAGAGCTTTAGTCTCCTCAGTAAAAAAGATAAGACATTATACATTTTTTTTTAAAGATTTATTTTATTTATACAAGAGCCAGGGTATAGGCCAGATGCGTGGGAGGGTGCTCTGGAGGATTCACCAGAGACAGAGTGGGGAACAGAACAGGCAGACTGATGAAATACACTGCTGAGGGGAGCAGCGGGCGAGACAGGAGAGGTCTGCCATGCCATGTGGGATGTGGGGCCCTCACTGGCCCCCTGGGATCAAACTGGTGCTGCAGAGGCTGCAGACAGCTTCACAGCATGGCACTCAACCACTGCGCCTCCAGGGGAGGCCCTACAATTTTTTTTCCTGAGCATATGTCTTTGATTTCATCATCACCTCTCCTTTCCTCTTCTGGCATCCAAAACTCCATTTCCTAGGCTCTAAACTACACAAAATTCATCTTGGCTACCCCCAAATACCATACTTACCTGAGTCTTTATATATGTTTAAGCATCTGCTTAGAACTCCCTTCCTCTAACCTACCTCATCTGGCAAATTTCTTCCCATCTGTTCATCTCCAAGGAAGTGTCATCTCCTTTGAAACTCCACTGCCCCAGCCAACAGTAGTACCTTCCTCCTTTGAAATTCCCCCGAATGCTTACTCATCCCTTCCGCTAGCTTGCTGAATAATTTCTTCTCTGCCTTCACCTACTTGACTAAGAGTTCGTCAAGAATAGATTTGAAATTTTAGCTTTATACCCCAAAATACCCACTATGGTTTCTGGCACACTGTGGGTGCTCAATACTTTCTGATAAGTGGAAACTGATCTGGACAAAATCAGGCCCTAGGAACTTTAAGACTCACCATTCCACATATCAGGGGCAAATTATGCATGGCTGTGATTTGCCAAATCTGAAACCACATGGAGCTGTGTCACCACATGACGTGTTTTCTTTAAAAGACAGAACATTGCTAACTTGTATACTATGAATATTATTAATATTTTCAAATCTTGTTCACACTTTCAATTAAACTTTATTCTCAAACAAATTAACAAATAGTTTCTGATAATTAAGGCTAACAAAACAAAGCAAAATGCAAAAACAAAAGTTTTCAAGTCAAAAAGAAAATCTTACAATAATATATAGTAGAACCTTACTGTTGTTGAGATTGGGACATGACCCAGGGAGTTGAAAATACTTTTGGAATATCCCATGTTTAAGCTACTTGCCTTTATCATTTCTATTAATTTAGCAACTCTGTGAAGTCAGGATAATTGTACCTGTTTCTTTAGCCACTGAAATGGAACAAAATGTTCTGTGGTAGAGCTGTCACATGAATTCTGGCCTTAAGCTTCCTAAATCATTGTTCTTTCAACAATGAAATAGCACAAATACAACAGAGTCTACATCTAACAGGTATTTTTCAATAAAAACAAATGTCTTATTCACCTTTCTATCCCTATGCTTGTTGAGTGAATAAGGACACTAAATGATGCATCAATGCTTAGTCACACATCCTTCAGTACACTCGGTACACTGAGGCTGCTCAGTCCTGCGGCAGAGGCCTTCCGTGAGCAAAAGCCACTCCTCTGCTGATTCCAAGGGGTTCCCTGTTGGACTGACTGCCAACCTGGCTGCCCCCCCACCCTGTTAACTAGGGCTCACATTGAAAGCTGGTGGAGATTATTTTTGAAAGATTCCTAGCCACATGGAGATGGAAGACCCAAGTTTCACTGGGTATTAAATGGACTCATTATCTTCATCTGCATTCACCAGGATTCCAACGATAAAGGCAATCTGCTTGACTGGCCTGATTTGTCCTTCACGAATGTACTGAAGAAGCTGTCTTAATGGAGGGGAACCACATCTGTCTAATTAGTAACAGCTGTTGGTGTGAAACACCTAGCCAAGGGCAGTGCTGCAGTTCTTCCGAGAACCTTGCTCGGCCAGAAGTCACAGGAGTAGATGGGATAAGTCACTTGGTGAGCCTGTGGTCCTGGGGGTTTGTCCCCATTGCAGGCCAGTCAGAGACCCTTATTCTCTGGCTTCAGTTATTCTCCAGATGATGGATGATTTTCCCACTCCAAATATTTGTGGTACAAAGCCAGTGTTTTAAAACACAAGTCCAATGGAGTCTCTCTCGCCCTCCAGAATCTTCAGTGGCTTGCCACTGAGTTTAGAATAAGGTCTTTTCCTCTGCCTGTTTTCCATGACTTGGAGGTAAACCCCTTCCTAGCCTCAGCACGTCTTACCTCCCTGCAGATACCAAGATTTTGTCACACTAATCATTTTCTCTCCTCTGAGACTTTGCACATAATGTTCCTTCTAGTCTAGAATGTTTCCTTCTACTGTCACCACCATTTCTCATCTATATAAAAATGGAGTAATCTTCCTATGACCCACTCAAATGCCACTCCCCCCATGAAACTCGGGATTCTCCCAGTCAGAGAAATTCTGGATTCCTTAGCATCCCAACACTTTCCTTTTGTGAACAAAGTATGTGAAACGGGCGGAGAGAGAGAGAGAGAGAGAGAGAGAGAGAGAGAGAGAGAGAGAGAGAGGGGCGCGTAGTGGGGTGGGGTAACTGAGAAACTAGACTCTGGAGCCGACTGCCTGGGCTTGCAGCTAAGCTCTGCCACTAATAATCGCATCTCTCTCAGTTGCTTGTTACAGAATCTGTTTCACTGGCTATTAAATGGTTAAATATATATGAAGTGCTTCAAATAGCACATGGCACACAGTAATCACTACCCAGCTGAAATAATTATTTTTGTGCACTTATCTCCTACAGTTTCACTTTATCTCCTATCTCTGTTCCTCCAATCTTAAGTTTCTGAAGGGAAAGACTTGCCAGTCTTATTCTTACCTATTTCCCAGTGCCCTGATGAAAATGAGATGAGATGATGCATGCAGTCTGTACTGTGTCTGGCACCACAGGCTTTAATGTTTACTATTACAGTTATTTTTGCTCTCATGTCTGGTATGACAACTTAGTCTAGAGATAAGTCACTACTTGCTGTTTGTTGAATGAGGTAACACGTTTACAAACAAATGAAGAGCTTTCAATGGGAAACAAGCCCCCAACCCCTCCACTGGGGAGAATGACAGACACAGCCACAATTTCTTCCTCAAAGGCCCTGGGAGTGAAATTGTAAGTGTTACTCACAAGAATCCTGCGGCAAAGGAATCTGATAGATTATTTGTGCCTCCAGCTGAGGTGGTCACCACACCTTCAAGCCAAATCTTCTTTCCTGGGGTGTATGTATTAACCACCTGTTAATACAACAGAAGCAGAAGAGGATAATAAGACTTCATAAAGCTCTGGATCAAGAAGGCACACACATGCCCTCCAGGATTCCTCAGCTCCCCTGTGTTTTGTTGCTGTTGCTTTTTATTTTCATGATGATGCACCCAGACTGGCACACGCACGCATACACACACACACACACACACACACACGTGGTTACACTGACATATGCTCGCAAAGAAATGATTCTGTTTTCCCCTTGATTAAATCCAAATGATAAGGTAAGGGGAGGACAAGCACACATTCCAGGACAAAAGCGGATGGCAACACCCTTCACTGGAAAATAAAAATCTTACTATGGTTCCCCATCAAGAAGTATAGAGAAGCAAAGTTTTGAAACATTCTGTTGTGGCACACCCCCTGGGGAGTGCCATGATGCATCAGAAGGCATGAGCCATGAGAGAGGGCAAACAGCAAAGTTTGGGAGAGGCAGTTTTTTATTTATTTATTTTTTTATGAAGTACCACTGTTTTCCATCCATGTTGATATTTTGACATCCTAGAGTCCCCTCCTTGGGCATGGTCACCGTGGTCCTCTACCGCAGCCCACTATGCTCTGAGAGGGGTATTTTTTAATTACCGTGACATGTATGTATATTGCAGTCACACTCTGAAAAGAGCTGCAGTAAGAAAAATCATGGTCCACAGGTGAAAGATCCTACACAGGAAGCATCCTTCCAAGCAGAAGGTGGCCTCTGAAGTTTTGAAGTGGCCTACTCTCTGATCCACAAGTCAGAGTCTGGACAAAGTATCCAGACCAGGACTCCTGGAACGCAATCTGGCCATTTCAAAGGATAGTATCATATATTGGGCAGCCCCTGAAAGCACAGCCTGAAACAAAGGCTTGTCCACAGGCAGCTCATTTGGGAAGTAATAACAGGGACAGGAGGATCTAGGGGACTGAAATAGGGCAAAGGGGAGTCAGCACAGGGTGCATTTTCAAGTGGGCAGCCCCTGCTGGCAACATGCACTGAACTCCTCAAGGACCTCGGTAACAGTCTTATGAATGGTGTCTCGGCACTGTCCTCCACGGGCACACAGGAGCAAGCTTTTCTCTCTGGCTTCCCAGCCTCCCAAGGGTCACGGTAACCACATGGCTGGGAACCCATGACCCCATCTCATTGGAGAGGCAGAAGTGCCAAGCAGACCCCCGACACTCCACATTTCTGCCTTAGAGAAGTTTCAGAGGATGAAGTGAAATGTGAGATGTGAGACTGTGCACCTGCCCAGCTCTGACTGCTGCAGGCTGGAGGGCGAGGTGAGGTTGCGGGGATGCCGGGGTTGCAAACAGGCTGGCTAAGGACAAGCATCTTTGGGTCTGGTGACCCACCTAGTCCTCTCCTAGACACACAGACCAAAACAATTCTTCCTCAGATCTCTAAGGAGACAAGTATGAGGACATTAACATTGTTACCGTTGTGGCAGGTATCCATTTCTAGAGGAATGGAAGAATAAAATGTGTTGGATACATACCAAAAATTTTTCAGCTGGTAGAGCAAGAAATCCAATGGTGAATTAAAAGAATATAGAAGCAGAATGATATATATGGTACAGTATTAGTTTTGTAATTACTCATTCATATCCAATAACACTACTAGTATATCAAGATGCATGTCTCTAAGCACATATATCAGACACATAAAGAAGGCAGGTGTACATGGGACATGAATGTGGGTGGGGAACGGACATGAAGGTAATCAAAATCAACAAAAAACTATGAACCAGAGATACTTTTTGGGGGTGGGGGGCGGGAGGGGAGGGATTGGGGTCAGAATGGGGCGTTTGCAATTGTATGGGGGAATATAAAAATAAAATTTATTATTTAAATTAAAAAAAAACAAATAAAAGCAGGGCTTTTTAGGAACTGATGCTACTAGTTTGCTGTAATTGAAGAGTATGATTTTAATTTAATTCCCTGCACCTCAGGTACAAAAATACAAAACAAAAACAGAAATCCATGAGGGAGGTAGCATATATGCCAAAAATTTCCTTTTCAGACCCATGGAAAGACTCAGCAACAATCACATTCCTCATTTCATCTCTCTCCAGGGACAACCTGCAACCTCTCCCCCTATCTACTAGTAAATTTGCATTATTTGTGACCTATTTTAAAAGGAGACTTGGCAAAGTACTTGGCCCTTTCAGGAATAAGGTTGTGAAAAATATTTCACAAATTTGAGATAGAAATAAAGATTATTATAAGAATGGAAGAAACACCCTGAGAATTAATAGTGGAGGGCAAATTCCACTGTTAATGCCCCCTTAAAAAAGAAAAATCACCAGTCCTCTCACCTTCTCCAGTCTGCCCAGAGTGCCCAACCAAAGGGGAGCTGGAAATAGTACAAATCAGAAAGTGAGAAAACACCTTATATGATTGGAAGACAGAGCTATAAAATTAAAGAACTACATCCATGATTCCCCTTATACAGTGCTGGAAAAAACTTTTTGTTTTTGATAATTTATACTTCCTGTCTAATTAACTAGAGCTGAGTAATGTATTCGCAATGTTCTCTTTGCCTCTGGTTTCCAGGATACCCAGAATTTAAGTTTTGCTCAAAGATATTGAAATGAGGCCATTAGAGAATGGGAGTTTGGTTACACAAAACAAAATGGTAAATTCTACAGCATCATGAACCTTAAAATCATTAAAGTAAATGAAAGAATCCAGACACGAAAAACCACATATTGTATGATTCCATTTATATGCAATGTCCAGAATAGTTAAGAAAGAAAGTAGATTAATGGTTTCCTAGTGTTGGAGATGGGGGTGGGGGAGAAGTTGAGGAATGACTATAAATATATTTGGGGTTTCTTTCTGGGGTAATAAACATGTTCTAAAATTTAACAGTGGTGATAGCTTCATATATTTGTGAGTATACTACAAATATACTACAACCACAGAATAGCACACATTTAAAGGCTGAATCTCATGGTATGTGCATTTTATCTCAATTCTGTGTGTGTGTGTGTGTGTACACACAATATGACAGTATGACCTTGACTGTGTTACCTTTTTGTGCTGTATTTCCCTCAGTTGTAAAGTTAGAAGAATAATAAATCTATCTCAGAGCACTTAATGATATTTTAATTGCTTAATATTGGAAAATGTCTGGCATATGGTAACCTCTAAAAGTGTAAATCAAATGTTACCTAGACTCTCCTTGTCCAAAGCACATGAGGTTGTATTTGGATCAAACAATAGAGTTTGTTGCTTTTCTTTCAGACACAACTATTATGGTGGTAGTCGATAGTCCAGATATATGTAAGAAGCCAGGAAAGGCCAATGGAATTTAAAATGCAAATAGGTAATCAATAGTTACATAATTAGCATTCAGGATAGTTTCTTTATCCACTCCCAACACAGCAGCAATTTCTGTCCTTTCCTAGAGAAGCAACACCAATGAAAACACACGTAAATTTTGATACAAAACCTAACCCAGTTACACATGAAATGTTCTGTGGGAGGACAGATTCTTTAAAAATCTCTCAACAAGGAGTTTCTGAGTATTCATTGTTTGGGACATGCTGAGAAACTTGATGAACTGTTAGATCTACCAAGGCAGAGAAGACCATCAGTGGTGACGTATGAGGCAGGCACTGAGGCTGGGAGCTGGGTGGGACCGGGAAGGAAATCAGAATGGGCAGAAGAGGAGAGAGAGAAATACTAGGGAAAGCAGATGCAACCAGCTGCAAAATTCCATTAGAAAGTGAAACTCTAAGAAACGAAAGGCTATAGTTCAACACTGTGGTTTTCTGAGTAAATATGATTCTCCCTGTGCCGGAAGAGAGAAAATTGGAGGGCTGGAAACAACCAGGGTACCATTCCTGGTGAGAAATGATGTGCCAATGAAGGTTATTTTAAGGAACACGCTGTCTGGGGAGGGGAAAGTACAAAGTCTGCGATTACTGCAGTGAGAGTGGAGGGAAGCGGAGGGAGGGGCTGGCTTCCCTGTGGCAGTCCTGTGTCCTAAATAGACTCCAGCCCTTGGGCCCATGTGGATGACGGGCTTTGAGAACCCACAGAACAGCTCAGCAAGTGGCTGGTGGCTGCTAAGGATCCTTGGGTCTGCGGCAGGCATGGGGGTGTGACGGGCAGCCCTTCTAGCTTCCTGCCCTCGCATTTCAAAGATTGAGGACATAACTGTTCCATGTGGCAATGCTGAGGGAGAAGGGGAGAAAGACAGAGGTTAGGAAAATTAGCACTGACTTTTTTTTCCTACCACTTTGAATTTTTATTTTTTTGTTTTTGTTTTTGTTTTTTGTTTTGTTTTAGAGGTTTTTTGTTTTGTTTTAGAGGAAAAGCAGTAAAAATAGGAAAATAACCATTTATGTGGCACATTTTCAAACCTGGGCTTCCTTTTCCTGCTTCTCCAAAGTTGTGATCTAAGTCTTTGAAAAGGACTCCTGAGAGCCTGGCTCAACCACTGGCTGTGTAAGAGATGGTAGCAGCAGACATGTTGTTTATGGTTATCCAAACCCAACACCTTGCTTAATGAGAAAGGAAGCAATAAAACAGGAATAGTGGACAGGCCAGCTGGACTAATCAGTCCTGGCAGGAGGCCCGCCCGCCCCAGGAAGCTGGAGCCCATTAATTCCAGCATCTCATCTACTTGGAAACCACCTTTCTTAGGATTTCAGGAAGAGCAACAGCCCTTTAAGGAATCAGAACTGGTCTCCTGTATTGCTGGTGAGAAGGATATTGGTGAGTGCTTCAAGAAGCGTCTGAAACCTTACCTAAGCACTAAGATCTTCTTGGGGATGCCCATGCAGCTTGTTCTTTATTGTATGTTGTAAGAAAACCAGATGAGGGCCTTCCTGGTGGCACAAGGGGTTAAGACACAGCACTATGAAGCCACTGCTGCACAAGTTCAATCCCCGGCCCGGGAGGTAACTAACCCACATGGCACAGCAGACCTCTCCTGTCTTGTCCACTCCCCTCAGCAGTGTATTTCAGTCAGTCTGCCTGT